TGAAAACCTCCAAAGAAGGAGAGCCCACCACCTCCCAAGGAAGCCTGTTCCACTGAGGAACCACTCTGTCAGGAAGTTCTTCCTAATGTTTAGCCTAAAACTCTTCTGATTTAATTTCAACCCATTGGTTCTGGTCCAACCTTCTGGGGCAATAGAAAACAACTCTATACCATCCTTTATATGACAGCCCTTCAAGTACTTGAAGTTAGTTATCATATCACCTCTCAGTTGTCTCCTCTCCAGGCTAAACATACCCAGCTCCTTCAACCTTTCCTCAAAGGACTTGGTCTCCAGACCCCGCACCATCTTCATTGCCCTCCTTGGGACATGTTCCAGGTTGTCTATATCCTTCTTAAATTGTGGTGCCCAAAACTGAACACAATACTCTTGGTGAGGTCTAACCAGAGCAGAGTAAAATGGTACCATCACTTCGTGTGATCTGGACACTATACTTCTGTTGATACAGCCCAAAATTGCATATGCTTTTTTAGCTTCCATATAACATTGCTGACTCATGTTCAGCGTATGGTCTACTAAGACCCCTATATCCTTTTCGCACATACTACTGTCAAGACAAGTCTCCCCCAACCTATAATTATGCATTTGATTTTTCCTACCTAAATGCAGAACTTTACATTTATCCCCATTGAAATTCATTTTATTTGTTTTAGCCCAGTTTTGCAGCCTGTCAAGATCATCCTGTATCCTGACACTGTCTTCTACCATATTTGCTACCCGTCCCAATTTAGTATCATCTGCAAATTTAATAAGCATTCCTTCTATCCCTTCAACCAAATAATTGATAAAGATGTTGAACAAAACAGATCCCAGGACAGATCCTTGAGGCACCCCACTTGTCACTCCTTTCCAAGATGAGGAACCGTTCACAAGCACTCTTTGGGTGTGATCTGTCAACCAGTTACAGATCCACCTAATAGTCATAGGATCCAAACCACATTTTTCTAATTTCCAATGAGAAGTAAAGTCAACTCGGTTTCAGAAACCCAAACATGAAAGCTGAGTAGTGGCCCTTTGTTGAAGAATATCACATTAATAAAAGCATGAAAAAACACAAAAGAGTAGAGTCCCAGAGTCCCATTCAGGGGAGTGGGAGTGAGATATAAATTTGATAAATAAAATAAATAGGATGTAGATTGGGTAAGGTTGCCAGCTCCAGGTGGGGAAATACCTGGAAATGTTGGGGTGGAGCCTGAGGAGGGTGGGGTTTGGGGAAAGGAGGGACTTCAGTGGGGTATAATGCCATAGAGTCTAACTTCCAAAGTAGCCATTTTCTCCAGGTGAACTGATTTCCGTTGCTTGGAAATCACAGTAATCCCAGGAGATGTCCAGACACCATCAGGATCCTGGCAATTCTAAATTGGGTGTGTGTGTGAAACAGATTGCTCCTTACACTTTCCATGAATAGGTTGTGTGAGAGACCAGTGACAATTTGAATATCAAGATATCCTTTTTAAAAATTGGATTAGATTTAATTTTTTAAAAGTTACAATGCTAAATCACAATTATATTGGACACATAAATGGTGTGTGTGAGTTCAGAGGAAATGGGGAAAACGGATAGGTTTGAAAACACATTTCAGTCCCTTTAGGGATATTGGTTTCTCTGCAATGGTAACCTGACATGCAAAGCAGGACTCAAAACTTACCAACAGGTTCAGTCTATAATCGATATACTTACATTATATGCCATTTATCATCATAATTACCAAATCTGTCCATGTATTCCTAAAGAGAGTTCCACCCACTGAAGTCAAAGGGCTTAGAAAGTTGTAACTCTGCTCAGGATTGCACTGTAACTGAGCAATCCTACTCAGGTCTATTCAGTGGGATTTACTCTGAAGAAAGTGTTTTTAGGATTGCACTGTTAAGTCCCTTGCAGTGCCATCCTAATGAGAGCTACACCCTTCCAAGCCCAGTGACTTCAAGAGACTCAGAAAGATGTACCTCTACTTAGAATGGCACTGTTGAGCTTTCCATGTAGATCCACAAAACTTTGCTAGCTCCACCACTAGGACTCAAGCACTTTGGCCTTCTTAGGACTCGGCCAAGATGAGTAGCTCTGGAGCAGTATACATTCTATTGCAGCACCGTGAAAGTCTTAGAACTCTTTGGGAGCTCTTTTGGGGGAGCTATTACTCTATTTGCCCTGACCTAGATAGCCCAGGCTAGTCAGCTCTTGGAAGCTTTTGGATAGGAGGCCTCCAAGAAATACCAGGCCCTGACATGGGGCAGGCCATAGCACACCACTTCTGATCATCTCTTGCCTTGAAAACCCTACAGTAAGCTGTAAGTAAGATGCGACTTGAGAACACTTTGAACCACCACCACCATTATCCAATCCATTTTTTCCAGAAAACTAACATAAGTGCTGACACAAGGGTGGATACAGTCCGTAGGGCACTTTGTATATGGTAAAGGCCATAGAAAAACTCAGGGCTTTTTTAATAGAAAAAGCCCAGCAGGAACTCATTAGCATAATAGGCCACACCCAACAGCAGAAACGTATTAGCATATTAGGTCACACCCCTGACAGCCCCATGTCGGCCCTTGGAGGGGAGGGCAGTGTAAACTGCCTTCCCTTGGCTTGCCCAGGCACCCCACGGCTGCGGGGAGACCGGGCAAGCCAGCCGTTGAACAGGCTGGGGAAGGCATTTAAATGCCTCCCTGATCCTTCCAGGACCCCCCTGGCTCGCCAGCCTCAGAGTCGCCGGGGGGGGGTCACTCTCCAGGCCTTTCCTCTGTAGCCACACATGCAGAGGTTTTGGCTGTAGTGGGCGTGGCCAACTCTGAAGCCAGCCGGAACTCCGTTCCTGTGCGTTCCTGCCCAAAAATAGCCCTGGAAAACCTGAAGGGCTCTATTTTATTTTAATTCCTTATTACTGTTGTGAGTGGTAACTTTGTCTTTTTCTTTTTGTTGTCCAATGAGCAGTTCAACATTAGGTGTTTTGAAAATAATAACTAATGACAATAATAGTAGCATGTCTATTTTATGTCTAATGGAATAGATTTGCAGATAAAATTCTGTAGAGCTATTCCCATCTGCCAAAGTCTTTCAGACCATTAAACAATGTTATGACTACATCGATTAAACAGTAAAATATTTACTAAAATGCACTACAAGTCTGGAAAGAGTATTTTCTGCCATCATGTGTCAAATAGATGAATTACAAGTACTAAATGAAAGGTTTCCTATCTATTTTAAACCACCCTTCTTCAACAAAATAAATTCAAAGGGAGATTCCAGTTTAATGCAGTTGAATTAGAATTTACCAAGATTTCATGTACTGATGCTTGAACAAAGACCAGGGATTCTTCAGCCATTTACAAAAGGCTGATCAAACTAAGTAAAACTAGAGAATGTATTAGCCTAGGATATGGGAGACCCAGGTTTGAATCCTCACTTTGCCATGGAAGCCTGCTGGGGGACCTTGGGCCAGTCACAATCTCTCAGCCTAATCTACCTCATAGGTTAATTATGAGGTTAAAATGCAGGACAGGAGAATGATCTGGATCCCCACTGGGGTGAAAAGGAGAGTATAAATCATCAATAAAGGCAAAGTACAAATCATAATAAAGTCTCTGTACTTTTCTTGATCACATTCACATTTTGCATAATACTATCAGACCCTGGACTTCTTGCATTTCATGGCCTCTGTCCCTGCTATTTTCTGCATATCATGCATCCAGGTTTGTCAACTGAGGATGCACTGCTTGCCTCTGAAGTGGACTCTACTTGTCAAATGCTGAGGCAGAAACAAAAATGTATCCATTTTAGACTCACCTTTTGTTTAATAATTAAATAAAACTTTTGCTTGCCAAGATATTTTGAAGCTTTGATTAGAAACATAGGAATATTATTGTATTTTATCTGATGCATTTTAATTGTTTTTAATTGTTTATATATTATATTTGATGGAACCCACTCTGAGCCTGTTACGCAGGAAGGCGGGATACAAATCTAATAAATAAATAAATAAATAAATACTTTGGTGTCCCAAAAAGATATGCTGTATAATTTGAAAAATATGTTGCCCAGGAATCTTTGCAGTGTTATGGAGAATGTATGACCCTTACTCACAGATCATGCACAAGCATGCACAATCCAAGAGTTGGAAAATTCAGCATTCTGTGGGACATTGTTCAGGTTCCTCAAACATTTTTTGGAACAGGCTCAGCAAGGTATCATATAAGATTGTCTCCTTCGGCTATCTATTTTCGTGCTATTTTCCAGATCCTTTAAAAACTTGTAGGCCTTTATTACATCTTCCAGTGGTTCATATTTTGGCTGCTATGATCAAGCAGAATGGTCAAATCCTGTCTTTTTCTATTTTTCCTTCAATGTCCCCCAGTAAAACTACCACCGCGCCTACAGGATGATACCGCCCTCCTTTGCAGTTGCCTGGGTTTGCAGGTCGCCTTCTTCCTTGAATAATTACGTAGCAGCGTCGGCGGAGAAACTTTCAGTAGACGCTGATCCTATTCTCTCAGCGGTCGGTACTTCACTGCAGCTGAAGCTGTCGAAAAGCTAACCAAACCGTCTCCTGCCGCTGGCCTGCACTCTGGGTCAGCTGGAATTCATTATTACCACTGAAACGACGGGAAGCCACTCAGGGGCTAGCCGCTAGTTCGATGTCCGAAGGGGCGACAGCAACGCCAAATCGACGAGACACTACCCCGCTCTGCTCCAAGGCGAGCTGCAAAGCTACATTCATTGGAAGTGGCGACTCCCAGCCACTCTTAAGGGTATTAATTTTGCACATTGAAACCCTTTTCCTTCTAAGGAGGTTCAAGGGATCCACATTCTAGCAAGATTCGCATCCCGTGACAGCCGCAAAAACGAATAGGATTTCCAAACAACCGGTACATCGACTCGCACAAATCTAGCACAACAGTGGCAGCCAATGGGAGAGAAGGACTTCATCTGTTTCGACCGGCGAAATGGAACTCTGGGAATTGTAGTCTTCCGGCGGTTGGCTCCGCCGTTTCCTCGCTGGGCGGGCGAGGCAAGATGGCGTACGTGCTACCCAAAAAGGCTGGTGTGTTGCTCAGCCAGGTGAAGAGCATCGTGGTCCGCTTCTGCCCCTTCCAGGCTAACGTGGAAAGCACCAGGTGAGGAGGGATGCTTGGCAGCTGAGCGCATGCATGTTCTTCACCCGTCGCCTTTCCTTGGACATCGGCAGTGTATAATTTCTAAAAGAGAAATAAAAACGGCAGGGCAAGGCTTCTTGAACTGCAGACAGAAATTCAGCAGACGAAAGACAATTTTCTCGGAGTGAAAATGCAGCGCTGAGTAAAAAAGAGTTTACCTGCTGCTGTTCAGTTAGATTCGAGGCCCCTAGCACCTTAGAGACCAACATCTTCTGGGCGTGGAACAGGGATCACTGGGGGGAGGTATTTATGAACCTCCTGCATTGTGCAGGGGATTGGGCTAGATGAGCCTGTAGGCCCCTTCCAACTCTATGAGTCTAAGAGTTTCAGGGTGTCAGGTGTCGAGAGTCAAAGTTCTCTTTTGTCAGATCTGTAGAGCAGAAGTGGCGATCCGCTGCTGTTTAGGGTTCAGAGGGCACAGGGCTCTGCTAAGGAAAAAAGATGGCAGCCATAGGTCATCCTGCCTTGAAGTGGCATTCTGAGAGCTGTTAAACTGACTGGCACCTAGTACCAGGTGAAGTGTGGAAATGCTTTTTGTACCTGCTCAGAGGCATGGTGTTCACACTGAGAATGGATCTCAGGGTGACTGTCAGATGGTTCCAGGGTGCAGCCCTTCTCAGGGCATAACTGCATGATGTGCCCAAGGTGTTTTGGGTCATGGGTGTGCAACCAGACTCCCATTGGGAAACACATCTTAAAGAATCACTTGTGTTGTGATGGGAGAGGAGGAGCTTCTGGTTTCCCTCCTACCTCAGGTTTACCAGTATATTCTGGTGAAAGCAGGGTTGAGAGGGGAATCGCAAGCTCTTTCTCTCCCCCCCTTCCCCTGATGTGACTCTGGTGGTACACCTGTGACCTGGCATTTGTTGGTGTATCATGTAGTTTGGCCCTACGTAGGCTTCCCATGGCTCCCTTGCCTTTAACAGCTGCTGGCAGAAAGGTATGGAAGCTGCATTACATACTCCTGCAGTAGTCATGTTAAATGGAATGGCTGGCATGTAAGGAAAAAACAGCATTCCACTCTGCTGATCCCTCAGGAACATATGAAAGCCCTGCTGGCTCCGGCCAGTGATCTATCTAGTCCAGCATCCTGCTTCACACAGCAGCTAACCAGTTGCCAGCAAACAGGACACAGAGGCTAAGGCCTTCCCACTGATGTTTCCTGCTAGCACTGGTGTTCAGAAGTTTGTTGCCTCTGAATGTGGAATTTCCATTTACTGAGCATGGCTGTTACCTATCGATGGCCCTATCCTCCATAAAGCTGTCTAACTTGTAGAAAAGGAGCTCTCGGCTGCCACGTATACAATGTTTCCATGTTGTAGTGTGGTTCTTCCTGGCAAGCTCTTATACTGCTTTGGTAGGTGAAATGACCTGTGTTAAATAAGATGTTACACAGGTATATTTTTTTTAACTCCTGTCATGTTTAAATCAGACCAAATACTAATCAGTCTACTTTACCTTAATCCTGCAGGCTTAATTCAGAACATAACCTGTGTTTTATTGGCTCCGTGGAACAAATGCTGTAACCATTAGATCCTTCTCCTTACTTTAAATTTTTGTAACTACCATGCCTGGATGGTAGTGGATTCAGGCCAGAATCTTGACAAGTGTAGGCCTTAATAATTGGGGTTTGCAGCACTCTGATGTTGATGTTTTCTAATAGTAACTTCATTCTACTGGGATTCCTTAAAATGCCACTAATTCATTTAATTTTATAGTTGTTCCATTGTAAAATCTTGTAGCACATCACAGGAGTTTAGAACTCAAACCAATGTATGATAATCAACTGCAAACAAAGAAAATCTTTACAGAATCCCACCAACAGTAGTCACCCTCCAATATAAGGTTTGTTTTCTGAATGCAAATAGGCTTAGCAGTAATACAGTGGTCTCCAGCCTTTTTGGTATGGTGATCCCCTTGAAGAAAACATAGCATGCACAAATCAATAAAACTGCAAAAGCTTGAGGCCCACATCTACAGTTTGGGAAACACTGAATTAGTGAATTCAGACCATTGTGTGTATATCAGTTTGTGTGTACTGAAATTTACTTTCTGTTTGCTTGTACACTACAGAGCAATTTGAGCAATTGATTTGGTAATCTACTCATCTATAAGGAATTGTAGAGTGTACAGTTTTTTACTTGGGGGGAGTCTTAAGAATATAAATGTGTCTGCATTTTAGCAATATAAAAAAGGTTATACGAAACTATCTTATACTAAGTCAGACTATAAGTCTGTCAAGGTCACTATTGTCCATTCTGACTGGTAGTGAGTCTTCAGCAATTACTACCAGCAGATGTTCTAGCTCTGAGCCATGGCTCACCCCATTGATAGAATGTGTAAATTGCTGGTTTGTGGCACTGATCTGTATTTCCATATTCCCTGATCAGAAACTTCCTTGCATGTTTACACACGAAGAAAGCCTATGCATCCAACACCAACTGTGATTTGAAAACAGAAGTGAAACACGATGGATCAGAACCAGTAATAAATGTTCAATTTGGTAAGATATTATTCCCTGTTTTAGAGATTAAAGGTTTCTTAGTTTTTAAGGCCCCTCAAACGGTAGTCTGGCCCTTTTTGAGCCTACTAAAAGTGTTCTTAAGCTGTAAGAGGTTTTTTTATGTTTAATGCAATTTAAATGTATCTAATTTTTAAATGTTAACAGTTGCAGCTAATTTTTAAATGTTAACAGTTGCAGCTCCCTTTTGGATTTAGTGGTTCTTGACTCTTACAAAGCTGAATGCTTCAACATCTTGGCCATTGTCTAGAGACGTCAAAAGCAGCCCTTTATCTGAAAAAAAATCTGAATTTCAGAAAAGTAGGTCCCAACCTATTTTACTTGGAGGTCCTCATAGAGAAAAATCACACTGTTCTCAACCCAGTACATTTCTCAAATGTGTCTTTTTTTTTTTTTCTTGGTCATATTCCTTTGCTTTAGAAGCCATTGTAAACAGCAGCATCTGCTGCTGTTCTAAGAAACTGATGATGCACATATATTTGTTTTTGATGATAAAAGCTTATCAGAGCCTTGTCACAATCCTTCCATCTGGTGCACTAACCTATTCTTTCTATAGGACAAAGTGAGCCACCTAGTGGCCTCCAAGCATACTGTCACAGGTGGCATCTCTGCCCCCTGCTCTATTTCTCTTCGCCTTCACTGCCTGTACGATAGCTAGAAAGCCCTAAGGCAGACAATCAGGTTCTCGCCTCTTAACACTACTCCTAGAGAGATCAGTTCAGGTGAGTAGCCATGTTGGTCTAAAGCAGCAGAACAAAGTTTGAGTCCAGTGGCATCTTTAAGACAACAAAGTTTTATTCAAAGTGTAACCTTAATGTGCAAAGCACACTTCTTCAGACAAAAAAAGTGGTGTGGTTTTTTTTCTGTCTGAAGAAGTGTGGTTTGCACATGAAAGCTTATACTTTGAATAAAACGTTGTTGGTCTTAAAGGTGGCACTGGACTCAAACTTTGTTCTGTTGCTTTAGACCAACATGGCTACTCTCCTGAACTGATCTCTCTAGGAGTAGCGTTAAGAGGTGAGAACCTGATTGTCTGCCTTAGGGCTTTCTAGCTATCGTACAGGCAGTGAAGGTGAAGAGAAATAGAGAAAAGGGCAGAGATGCCACCTGTGACAGTATGCTTGGAGGCCGCTAGGTGGCTCACTGTAGCTTTCAAACTGTGATTTGAGAAAGAAATGAAGTTACTCTAATACTGGCCTAAACATCCTGCTGAAAAGGGTACTAATAATATTTGTAGCTACAGTTAAATCCAGAGCTTCCCTGGCTAGACCACATGTATGCTGAATGAGAAGATGCTGTCTAACCCGACTGCCACTGACCATTTGTTCTACAAATGATGACTAGAAGACTGTCATCAAACACATTAGACCATTGTTGCCAATATATAATAATTCATTTCATTTATTAGACTTATGGCCCGCTCTCCCCTGTTACCAGGCTTAGAGTGGGTAACAACGAACCAATAAAAACATTCAACAATCTAAAATAAGTATATAAATACAATAAAATTTACAACAAATATGGAGCGACAATACAATTAAAAGATGGTATACACTCTCAGGGGGGAATAATGTATACACTGTCTATTCAGAACGAAAGGGGAGAACGGAGAGAAAGGAGGAGGTGAATCCTTGATGGAACCCATCGCTACCCTCAACTATAAGCTTAGCGGAACAGCTCTGTTTTACAGGCGCTGCGGAACTGTATTAGACTCTGCAGGGCCAGATCTCAGCTGGAAGAGTGTTCTACCAGGCAGGAGCCAGGGCTGAGAAGGCACTGGCTGTAGTTGAGGCCAGTTGGACCCTCTCTTCAGGCCAGGGATCACTAGCAGATTTTGATCCCTAGAGCATAGCACTCTTTGGGGGATATACCAGGAAAGGCAATCCTGAAGGTATGCTGGTCCCAGACAGTTTAAGACTTTAAAGGTCAATACCAAAACCTTGAACCTGATCTGGTCCACAATCTGGAGCCAATGCAGCTGGTAGAACACTGGTTGAATATGTGCTCTAAAGGATGTTAGAACCTATGCAGCTGCATTATGTGTGGATTCTTTGAGATGAGACCTGCATTCTTAAGCCAAAGGAATAGATTCTAACAGTTTGGTACTTCCCATCCCCCAAACTTCCACAATGTAAAATATTTGTCACAGGCCTTTCCCCACCCCTGAAATGTTGACTCCTGGACCTATCAAGTGCTCTATTTTGGTCCAGAAAAAAATCAGGTGTGGCTTGTGAATGTAATGTCACCCGTTTAATAGAAGAGAGGTATGGTTTCTGGGAGATGGACTGACCGAAATGGATTCCAAGAGATTTAGGAGTAATCTCACTGATTATTAATTACCCATTCCTGTATCCTTAGTCATGTCTCAAAATCAGCACTTCTGATTTTAAAGTAAATAATGGAGAACAACCACCTCACATTTTTAAAAATAGTCTTCACAGGGGGTGGCCCGCGATACTCGCGGGGGGGAGGCGGAGCTCCAAACTGAGCTCCGAACTCAGGAGGCGCAGGAGGAAGCAGCAGGAGAAGGTAATCCCCCCCCATCCTGCTGGTTCCTCCCCCGTATCCTCCCCCCCACTCGATCTCCCCCCT